ACTGGTCGCAAGGACTGGGCAGTTTTTGTCAGAGACCAACATGCACATTACATTGATATTATGTCACATTCTACCAACGTTCTCACGTGAGTAAATGCCTCCTTTCTCCAGCCTTTGAGGCCTACAGTAAAGGCGTAGTATCTGTTGTCTCTTCTATTAAAGTCTTGAGGGATGCTTAATCCATGGGATACCAACCTTGTGGCAAAAAAAAACTTGCCTCTTTGCCCTAAAAAGGGTTAAGGTTGGTGGATACCGACACCAACATGGCAGTGGGTCGCGGTGACTGGATAATTTTTTTCTCCTTCGGCCATACGTACAGAACACCCCCCACACACATTAAACCGATCTGGTTACATCCTGCTACCGTGTGGGGGTGGTTAAATGGCGGATCTGGTCACATTTGACCGGCCTTTGAGATGGACTCGCTCTGTTCTGTCAGTGTTTACCTAATGCTATGAGAGATACTTGGTGCCGAGGTTCCTATTTTTGCGGCAGCACCTTCCCCATTGAATTAAGAATGGATGCTAGGTGGATACCGACAACAGCATGAAAGTGGTCGAAGTGCAGTGCATTCACCACCCCCCTTGACCTCTGTTTACACATATAGACAACTCACGTTAAGGCCAAAAAAATAAAATATTACAGTCTAACAGATATTTGCATTTTAACTCGTTCAACAATAAAATGGTGAAACCTAGTTGCCAATCTAGTAGCGCGCTTCAATTCAGGCCAGATGAAACACTAATGGGGTAAAAGCTCTTCAGAACATGGAAGTAACGATAGTCTTCAATGTGGAGAATTAAGTATTCCCCTACAAGACAGCATGAAATATTTTCATTTCGTCGATTGCCTCACGTAAATATTTACCACTAAAGCATATGACTTGTCCGCATAGAGCCTGTAGAATAGACTACATATGATGTTCCCTTCGAAGAGGTTTATCGGTCGTTTCCTATTTAGGATTGGGTTTCTGGTTTAACTCTACTTCCAATGTCTCCGCCTGAACTCTGAAATTTTATTTAATATTTTTCCTCAATAGGAGTAGATGGGTTCGCCTCTCTCACGGTTCATACTCCTACCAGGTTTTTTGAACAGGAGTAGATGTTTATCCCTAGTTTCCTGTTTAGAATTGGGTTTCAGGTTCCTTCTAAATTTTTTCTTTCACTTCCGGTAGCCATTTGCGTCTTAGTGGAATTATCACCTTACTTGGTGTGAATTGATTTTAAAAACATGAATATTTAACAATGTGTCTTCATAATTTTTCGTCAAGAGTCGTATTAACAAAATTTTACACTAGTAGTTCTTTAATTTGAATTTCATCGCAACTCTCAGATGCTCATTCCAAGAGTAAGTAGTACGGATCAGAAAGAATATTACGACCAAGGTAATAAAACAATAATGGCGACGTATCCGGCGTTCAAGGTGGCAGGAGTTGTATCTAACTTTATTAGATTTGAATGACTAATCAGTGTCACGAGTAGCCGAATCAGTGTAGCAGTTGTCTAGTTAAGCTATAATATTGTATCTGCGTATTGAATCTCGCCAGTGTCTCATTTCCGATCTACGCTGCTTCGTAACGATCGTAGAATGACGACCGGTGAGTTGCGATAAAAGGTCGCTGAAATTAAGATGCCGGTGAAAAATCAAATCTTAAAAATATGACTAATTAGTTATTGAAATATGCTTGGGCTATCTTCAAGTTCTTGTCACTCTAACGATGCAATGGAAGTGGGCTTCTTTATATAAAGTATGTTAAGATGCCTATCATTTACCCTATTTACATTCGAACGATTGTCCTTATCTTGTTTTTTATCACAAATTTTCGGCCTTTGTACCCTCCGGCCTTCATCAAGTGTATATCGATCCGGGTAACCTACAGGGAATTCCGAACAGAACTCTTTATTTAAGCTGGTTCGTGGATTTGGTGACAGTAATTGCGAGTTCAATCTTTGGAAGGCGTAGTGTGTGCTTAGACTCACTGGAAACAGGGCAAGCAATAACTGAGCAGCGAAAAAATAAGAACTTGATGAGGTATCTCTAGAAATAGTCAGTGGAATGAGAACAGTCTGTTCTTTTGATTAAATAAAGGGTCCAATTCAGAAAGCTTCCACTTCTATCCGCACAAATTGCCTGCTAACGTAAAAGTGTCCTGGGCCTTGTAAAAAGTAATCCTTTCTGTTAAAAAAAAAAGAAAAGTGCACCGGGATTGATAGACACCTGATAAAGGCTGTGGTGTACAACGGCCGAAACGTTGAGAGAACAACAAAGATGAGGAGGATAATCCGAATGTAAATAGTATAAATAATTTCTCATCCCAGAAATTCAGACAGAAATAATCTAAATTCAAATTTATTATTGAGAAAGGCGATCAGACTTCCTTTTTACTCAAGAGAATACACCAAAGGTCCGATTAATATAGTTTACTGGAATCCTAACAATCAAACGAAGAAAACGTAAATTCTAACCAAGAACGAAAAATAGCAAACAGACGTATCTTTAGATTAAGAAAAAAAAAGGTCATGAAGAAATCGAGCTAATGAAGTCCTCCCGAAATTCCTGTAGGGCAGCTGCTATCAGCCACGTTGTTCGTACACTTTCATCACAATGATTCTCGCATTGGCTTTTCACGGCTTGTTTCAAAAATTTAATAGCCTTTTTGCTCGGCTTGTGAAACGAATCAATTTTTAGACGAATGGAAAGAAAGATTTTCTGGTTATTTTCCCTTGAATCAATTCAGCCATATTGTTGTCTGTTATTAGATTTATTGCAAAACGTGATCCTGGTATCAATATGTCTGCAACATATAATACAGAAATATTTACCACAATAACGAATTCATTCGAAGCTCGGAATCTCCACAAAAGCAATGGTTGGAAGGGAAATTGTGCACGCGTGTTGTCTTTCTTTTTTTCTTTTTTTCTTTTTTTTCTTTTTTCCTTGCTTTTTTCTTTTTTCTTTCTTCTCTTTTTGAAAATGTTCTTAAGTCATGTCTGGTCTAAATGATCTTATACACTGAAATTCGATAATTCTAATTATGAAGGAAAAGATGAGAAAAGCACCCCCTACCAAATGGCATTCAAAGATAATGAAAAAGAGTCAAGAAAGTTGTAGTAAAAAAACACACACACACACGAATATATATATATATATATATATATATATTCAGACTATTGTCCTCATCTTTGTCGCCATATTTATTACAAGGGGTTTCGGCCCTTGTACGCTCCGGCCTTCTTCAGGTGGTGGGAATGTCGAATTGAACCCTTTATTTCGCTCGCTGGGATAGACTGATCTAGTTCCACGTGCCATGTCTAATGGATGTCAGTTAACAGTTATCTCCTGTTAATTCCATATATATATATATATATATATAATGATGATGATAATAATATTCGCCATCAATATCTGTCAATATTTCTGAGATAAGGAATTGTAATTATTTACATTGTTCGAACTGTTGTCCTCCTTTTTATTCTCATGTTCACGGCGTTTCATTCTGAAGAAGGCTGGAGTGTACAACGACCGAAACGTCGTGTACATAATAAAAATAATGAAAGCAGTCTAAACAATGGAGATACTCACACAAAGCAAAGAGGCACTCAAGGTAGTGTTACAGAGTGAGAGACATAGTTTATGAGGGTATGTATGGAAGATAACGGTTGATCCTAGACTTGAACAGGTTAAAAGTTGTAATGTTTGGGTGGGGAGCATCCTCTCTGGTTACTGAGACCAGAGTTCGTGGGAAGAATTTTTTTTTTTTTTTTCATGTAAATTTGTATGGGCGACGGTTACGTTTTTTCTACCTGAGATCAGAGTCGTAATTGCCAGGTGCTTCTGGGCGATAAACGGTTTCGTTTTCTGGCTGATAAACATTAGGAGGTGGGGGAATCGAAGGTAAGGGAGCAAAAAGAAAATAATTCCAGGTGGAATTAGATATGAACCTGCGGGATGGGAGGTCGAATTCTTGTCTTTTCTAACCGACTATCAAGAGATAAGAGCAATAACAAAAAATGAGGAGGGAGGGGGGGGAGAATTACGAACCATTAAAACTTATTAGGGCGAGATAGAGCAAAAGCGGGTGAACGAGAGAATCAAGCAGAATTGATCAAGGTTTGTATAATATTTAGATAAACATGAAATGGCAATGATGGTGGAAACAAAAGGAATTCTGGGTGAAGAATGTTTTTTTTGTTTTTCATTTTTCGTTATCTTCTGTTTGTCTTGTTCTTTTATTGTTTTATTATGGTGTTTGTTCTCATTTTATCTCACACTCGGTAACCCCCCCCTTGCGTCTTAGTAGCTTTATTACCTTGCTTGGAGTGAAATGATTTAAAAAAATAAATGAGGAAAGAGCAGTGACATGATACGAATACCGGTTGAATTTTCATGTAAGTGTTGTCTGACGTAGAGCGACAATTCTTTTCCATTTATCTAAATTGGATCTTTATATGGAGCTCACTATTTTAGCCTTGTGCCAGGCAAAGCAAGGCTGACTAAAATAGAGAAAAAACAAAATGCTGGAGGAATTTCTGTTTGGATAAAATAAATGAAATTAGGATATCTAAATCCTGATTTTCACGGAAGGTAGGCCTTTCCTTCTCGTTATCCCCACTACTCTACATGGACTCGGGCCTAAAATTGACTTCTTTTTTTTTTTTTTTCGTTTGTTTTTTTTTTTATTTTTTTTGTTTTTTTTTTTCGTTTTTTTTTTTTTTTTTTTTTTTTTTTTTCTGCTTTTTTTGTTTTTTTTAATTTTTTTCGGCTTTTTGTGTTTTTTTTTTAATTTTTCGGCTTTTTTTGTTTTTTTTAATTTTTTCTTTTTTTTTTTTTTTTTTTTTTTTTTTTTTTTTTTTCGGCTTTTTAACGTTACTCTCCGGACAAACTCTGTTGGGGAAAATAACACCGCACCGATGCCATTAAAACTGCATATTCAATCGAGATGCGAATCTGGTTTTGATATACGACAAAAGAAAATGGTTTATGAAAAGAAAACCGCCTCAAACACCGAAGTTAAGCAACGTCGAGCCTGATCAGTACCTAGATGGGTGACCGCTTGGGAATAGCAGGTGCTGTAAGCTTGGATGTACTAACTGGTAAAGCTTACAGCGATATCACGTTGAAACACGGCTCCCCTTAGGATCACCGCAGTTAAGCAACGTCAAGCTTTGTCAGAACTTAGATGGGTGACCACTTGGAAATACCATGTGCCGTAAGTTTAGATGTGCGAATGGTTTAATAGATAGATAAATCGAAGAGCAGATTTCCAATTCTGGTCGGGTTTATTAGATTTTCTTTTACGCAAAAATTCCCTTCGGAAAGATATTGACTCTCTCTTCTCACCTAGCTATAGGTTAGTTAAGGACTTATATAAGTAAATCGTTATCTCCAAGAATTCTTACAAACTAAAAGTATTTTCTGGCTTTAAATAACCTGCAAAGGGTTGATAAACCGTAAAATGCAACCAATCAATTTATCTGGACTTGGAAGGTGACGTACTCGCTTTTTATCGACAAAATCCAAAAGTCAAAGTTCAAATCAGGGTATTTGCTGAATTATTTAAAAATAAACTCATTGAAAATATTAATCAAAGCATTTCTCATAAACTTTTGTAAATTTAAATTAATTCTCTTCTGGAGAAATTCTTTCCTACAAAGAAATAGACTTTTAGAAATATTCCACAATGGATGCAATCGCATAAAAAGGAAGGACACAATTGTCCATCTTCAAATGATTAACTGGAGTTTAGTAAAATAGCAGAGTTTCTAATCGCTAAGCTGATCGACATGTTTTCCTGTTTCATAAACGCTTATCATACGTTTTCAAGAGATGTTTTGACTCCTCCTCCGCATCCAGCTATTGTGCAGAACTTCTTCAGAAATTGAACATAACTATTCTCTTTATAAACAATAATTTTCAGGAAACCAATCGAACCGGAATGAAATATTCATTAATAACATTCTTAGTTTAGATTTCAATTTTGACGAATAGAAAAATTCTGCAAAGCTTACATCGGAAATGGACGGTCCGCTTGACACTCTAAACAATGAATAAACTGTAAAATTGTTTGTCTATTCGTGCCTTACAAATATTCTGCTGCCAAAAGGTGCGGGTTTTGCATATATCAGAACGCCTACCTTGTACCAGATGCACCACAAACTCTCTTTAACGTTTTTTTTTTTTATGTGGGAGGGACAAGTCATGTGTACATAGAACTAAATCGAAAAATAGATCAGTCCACTTAACAGATCTATTTTCGGGCATGCCTCAAGCATCATGGATTAAGCCTAACTTTCTCACGAAGAGAAAAATGTCTGGGGTTGGGGGACGCCAAAGCACTGAAGTTAATAATTTTAAACCCACAGAAATGTGAATATCCATCATTTATATCTACCGCCATTTCATACACTTTGGCCATCTTGGTTTTTTCCTTTACCTAAGAGCCGCCATTTTGCAAATTCAACTTAAAAATAACAAACTTTTATTATCTTGATAAATAAGCAATTGTTTTATAATTAAATTACTTAATTATTCAAGTAAAAAATTTCCTACACTTAAACTGGTAACTATCTTAGCATTTAGATCTAAATAACAAAAACTAAACGATGATATTTTGAATATTTTTGAAAATCTATCGAATATTATAACTTTATAAAATGTCGAATAAGAAATAAATGGATAGTAAATGTATAAACCAATTGAATTGTTTGAATTTTTCGCTGATTTAATTTAACTTCAAACCCAGATCTCTTAAAACAATGTACTGTATCTTAATAAGGTAAATGTAAACCAGTATTTGTTTTGTATATATAATGAAAGGAAGAAAAATGTCAAATTCAACCTATATACTCCTAGCGTCAGTTTAAATTGACGCCTTCGTTTAAGTTGTGACAATTTTGATAAGTTTTTATTTTCTTGGTTTCAGATAAAATCAAGAAAATTTTCCAACAGATTTCAGTGAGAATTATAGTTTACAACATTTTAGCTTCTAATTATAATTTATATATAGGGAAGAAAAAAGGTATCGGTTTAAACTGATGCCGGGGGTGGGGGAGATATGTATTGGATCGTGGGTTTACGAGTTCTTTAAATTAGGAAAACATGCGTTTATTCCTACTAGAAGAAGGCTCACATACAAGAACATGGCGGACTCAGAGATTGAATCCACCATAAAGAAGTTTGAAGAAAACAAACAAGACCGGGGTGTGTGTGTATATATATATATATATATATATATATATATATATATATATATAATCAACAAATATATGTATTAAACAACAAAGTTTACAATGAACATAGCCATTAACATGTGTGTTTGTGTGTGAACGTAGAGTTTGTATTTTGGTCATTGTTCGTACGTACGTGTATGTGTGTTTCATGGCGTTTTCCCACAAATGGTTAAAACGCAGATCTCTGCGACAGATGACATTTTGTAAATGTGTCCGCTGAAATGCAAAGTAAAAAAAAAAGAACGAAGCAAGAAATCGCCCAGTATTTATAGTGTAGGGAAAGTGTCCCCTAATGAACAATTTGGATATTTAAGGAGTTAACACCGACAGATATGTTAAAACAAGATCACTTCTGTCATGTTGAACGAATCCTTGAATGATTCAGATAATTCTAGAAAAAATTCCATTGGGCAAATATGTTCTTTGACAGTATATATATATTTTTTATGATGTAAGCCTTCCTTTCAATTTTTGGGATCATTTTTGATGGCCTTTTACCTGGGGGTCAACGTAAAGAATTATTTCGCTTGACACTGGATAGGTGATGTGATCTGTCACCATTGTAGTTATAAACGTTGTTTCTGTTTTGTTTTTATACACGCAAGCGTGTAAATTAACTCCTCTGATGGTTAGAATGACATCTTAAACAAATTGGTCATGCTTTTTCTCCATCGAGAATTGTATAGTTGCTCCATTGATGTCCTTCATTTAATGAAGGCCACGGCGAATTACTTCCTAAGGATAGTACTTGCAAAATAAATAAAAAAAAATAAAACTCGTGTGGATGTTAGAAATCGCAGACAGGATTCCATAAAATTCACTGATAGCCCCCCCACACACACACACACATTATTTTTCCTTTTGTCCATAAATGACAGGTAACTAGAAAAGTTTTTGACTTTCTAATAAATCTTGTTCTTTGAAATATTTATACGGTTTTGAAATAAGGTTTTTCAGTTTTTCCTTTTTTTTTAGGAGTGGGGTCCTTAATCAAATTCATGAGATGAGTTCTTAACACGCTCGAAGGTGATTTTAATAAAACAGACAAGAAGCGGCCCAAAGGCTGACATGTTATGAGACGGCAGTCTACTAGAAGACGTGATGGAATATTTCTTCTCTCTTATGACTATAAACGGAAATAAAACTAAACCAGCAAACACCAGATATGTAATTTCACTGCGTTTTGCCACAACTAAAAGAATGTGTAGAGGACTGTGTGTTTACGTGTTCTTGTATTAGGAAACACGTGTGTAACTCCTGGTAGAATATTAAAATGTCCAACTGAAGATAAAGAAGACAAACAAGACCGATATATTTATAAACAAATATGTATTAAACAAAACAATTTTACAATGGACACAGACAATGATATTTGTGTGTGTGTGCGCGTGCGATCGCGCATTTGTGTCTGTCCTTTGGTGAATGTTCGTACGTACGTGTATTTGTGTATAATGTCCACGACCTCTTCCACAAATGGGAAGACGCAGATTTTCTAAGAGAGCTTAGATTATAGTCGCTGAAAGGAAAAAGGACTTACTTCACCTCCACGCGAGGTGGGATGTGGCACGAGGCGAGAAGTCGCCCAGTATTTATAGTATAGGGAGAATGATCCCGAGTGACAATTAGGGAATTAAGGAACTAACTTCGACAAATGTATCCCTGAAATTTGTCGACATGACAGTTTCAATTTTCTTAGGGATTTTGCGCGGATTTCTTTAAAAAATCAAAGCCACAATTCGCCACTTTCTTACTGAACATGTTTGCAAGAGAAACTGAATATCAAACAATCTAAATAACTCGCGGACAAGAAAAATGAAAGTACCGTATAGCAGATCATATACAATTTGATATATTTGCTTTTTTGTTTTTTTTTTAATAAAAAGTCACTTGTCTCTGAGATTAAATTGAAGCAAATAAACACGAGCATCGCTGGGAGATTATAAAATTAAAAGCAGCATATATTTGCTTCAAATTTCTAAGCAATTTCGTGTAAATTTGACTAAACGAATCGAGAATGAGAGCAACGCGCGTATAAAACGTAGGCTCTTCTGTTTGCTGTCGTAATTTACTAGCATAACTTAGATATGACACAAGGCCTGAAGTAGAGAGCACTCGGGATCTAACTCACTACTCGGTCGTAATTGATCTAACGAGACGCACTTGCTGACCATTATATCGTTGACGTGACCGACTTGGGTTTGGTATAAGTTGTTTGAACAAGCAGCTCTGATGCAAACGCCTTTCTTCATAGTGAACCTCTCTGATGTCAAGATTTATTGTATATAAAATAAGATTAACACAAGGCCAAAATGGGGAGGAATGGCCTGAAGCTGGTCATCACTATCTTATACCTAGCTAATCCGATTCACGACCCATTCACTCATTAAAATTTGTACATCTACCAAAAGAACTTATCCATCATCTTTCAATCCTTCATATACCACAATACTGCATACTATCGGGGGACTTACAAAAACACCCAATGTCACCAAACTTAAACCTATGATGTCAAAGCGATATCATAATTGTTTGATACATTGTCATCCGTTCAAGGTCTACTTCAGTAATGCTTGAGATGGCGTCATTAGCAATGACCATTCGTGGCATTTATCAGTAATAAACTTTTATGAGAAAGAAATTTTGTTCGTCGGAGTTTTCTCGAACATGAGACCAGAGATTACAAGCAATATTGTACAACTAACATTTTTATTGGCTTAATATAAATTTATACAAAATGGTGTGTCTCATATACTATCAGCATTCGTACATACGGTGTGGCTATATATATATATATATATATATACACACACACACACAAGTCCTATTAACCTTCTGTTAGTAGAGTAGTGGGTATTGTCGGAGCTTTAGTATCGTGGGGTTTTCAAACATCCTATTTAAAATCTATAATTTAGTTCTTGTTATATACTGTCTCGAGTGTACTTTATCGGTTTTATATGATAAATGAAAACTCTTCTACTTTAAAA